CAGCTGTGGGCAGTGCCATGTCTAAGGGCCCGACAGCCAGCAGCCCTGCACTCGCTCTGATGACTGCCCCCGTCACTCGCACTGACCACAGCCCTGGGGACCTGTCGCCCTCCTTCTAAGGTGTGGAGGCCCTGATTTTCTAGGTTTGCCGTGAGGCTTAATTAAATGATGTCTGCAAACGGAACTGTCAGGCCGAGCCTCTGAACACCTTCCTTATGCGATCGTTCTGTCATGTTAGATGTTCCTCCCGCTTGCCAGGTGGGAGTTCCATTCACTGCAAGAGGAAAAGGAAGTCACGGTGGATATGGGGAAGAGCATACTCCAGGTGACTTCTCCCGCCTACGCGGGAAGAGGTGGGGGCCAGAGGTTGCAAACAGAGGCCAGTACTGCCTATGATTTGAGCATAGCCACATACACATTGACATGTCATCCAATCTCTACGTAATGTGTTCTTTTTTGGGTGTTGATATTGGGTGAAGCGGGCCACATACATTATAATATTGACTCCCAGGGTCTTGAGTGAGGTTAAGTGGCTGGTTCGATAGCATCTATCGATAAAGGGTATGATGAGGGTAGGGCCCTGACCTGCTAGCTTATACTGTGCTAGTGGGAGAGGAAGCTTTTCTCACCTCCCTGATATTCGTGGTGGTCAGTGTGATCCCGAAGCCTTTTAGAACGGGCTTGATAGAAATTATTGATGTAGTAACATTAGCATTGCCTCACCCCATGGGGTACTTTTTTCCAGTTGCTCTTTGCTTACCACACTTTGGGGATCCACCCCCGACACATCCTGGACTCTGAGGCCCACACCTCTCACCGGTGAGAGTCCCTGGGCCCCACCCTGCACGTTTCCCGTCCCCTCAGTGTTCACCTCCTCCAGGAAGGCTTCCGGGCATGAGTCCTCTCCCTCCCTCAGCCTTGGTACGATGCCCCAGTGTTCTCTCAACCATCCATATGTCCAGCTTCCTCACTGTGGACTACAGGGCAGTTACATGTGTTCTGTGTCAGTGGCTCGCACATGCCCGTGGTGGTGCAGTCTGTAGGGCAAGCATGGCAATGTGGTGGCAGAATTGCAAAGGGTTCCTGGGCAGGGAGTGAGGAGCTGGAGAAGGACGTGCAGCTGCCCTGGGCCTCCTCGCCTGCTGTCATACAGGAGGCTGGCCCAGGACCCTGCAGACCCTCCGTCATCAAGGGGAAGATGCAGTTGCTTCCACTGCTCCTCACCCGCAGGGCTTTGCGCACAGGCCCTGGATCATCCTGTGGGCCAAAAGGTGTGCTATGAGTTTCTAGATCCTGGCTGAGAGATGGGAAAGGGACGAACATTTGAAAAGGGCATTGTCGCGATTGAAGCTCCCAAACCCGAGTTCCTGTGAGCTTACTCCCTAACAGTGCAGAAAGCAGTGCCGTTGTTTCAAACCCATTGCCTGCCCTGCCTGTCTAAACGCATGTCACACCTCAAGGTGACTCGTCCTGTCTCCTCTGGGACCTGCCCTGCACCTCTCCAGCCCTGGCCTCCTCTGTCCCTGCCTCATGGCCATTACTGTTGCTCACACAGATTCATGTGCCTTCCAACCCGGCTTCTTCCAAGCTCCCCGTCTCTCCCCAGTGCTTTCTACCCGATCAGCACCGAGTAGTAAATGCATTGCCGAACCACGCTGGTTCCCTACTTAAACCATGCAGTTCGATGGGGCTGTAGGTTTCCCCTCACTCCCTTTTGCACTGTGGTTTAGGGAGGGGTGTATTCACTTCCATCAGACCCCGAGACCATGGGGTGCTGTGCAGGCTCCACTCTGCTGGCCGCGCTCACACTCCAACTCCGAGTGGGTCAGACCATAGCTGGATGGGGCCCTGGGCTGCACGCTGCCCGGGAAAAGGAAACGTGGCCAACTGGGGAAAGCGAGTAGAAAGTACCCACGTGAATTCCGTGTCTGACACACGGGCCGTGGTTATGTAACCGTGTCCCTGTACAGGAGGCTGGGTAACGGGTGGACGGGAACACTGTGTGTTATCTCTGCACCGTGTCTGTAAATCTAAAGTTATTCCGGAATAGAAAGTTTATTTTAGAAAAAGTGGGCCAGAGTGCAGATTTTAGTCTGGCTAGCAGTCTCTTACTGCATGAGCAGCCTCACATCCAGTTATATCCTAGCCATTTGTAGAAAAGAATGGAAATGAGGGCCGCAGGGAAGTTTCCGAGGCTTCTGCAAAGTGTCTGTGCAAAGGCAGCGGCAAAGATCAAAACAAAACAAACATAAACCGGACCTGGATGCGCTTGGGGAGGCGGGGTGGGGGGAGGGGGAGAGGAGGCAGGGCCGTTAAAACGTGAAGCCGGATGGGTCATTTGGGAGAGGCGGCCAGAGCAGGGCTTTCTCTTGGGCTGGAGCAAGACCCGTGGCCTTCATTTCCTCCTCTTTAAAACGGCCCCGCCCAAGGCACAAACAAACAGAGGTAAAGTAAATCCTTACACAAATCGAGTGGTTCTGTTTCAGACTTTGTCGTTGGTGCTCACACGTGGGAGCGCGCCTCAGCCGCGGGCTGGTTCCCATCAAGCCCTCGAGCCGCAGGTCTGATTCGGCGGGAGCGTTTTCACTTTGCACTTGGCACGGCTCTGCTTCCTCTTACATGATCTTCATGCCAAAGCCAGAGCCATTCGCCTTCTAAATATAGTGGAACAGATGTGCGCGAGGGCTGCACAAAGGGCCTTTCTTTTCCCCTCTTCAGCCAGACACCAGTGCGGCTCTGGGAGGCTCCTGGGTCACGGGAGAGGGGGGCGCTGCCTTTTCAAGCGCCGGAGCCTTCGTTACTTTATATCAGTTTCTTACCCGGGATCGTGAACAAGTGTCTGTGCCCAGACTCTAGAGAGATCCATCAACTCCTTAAAGCTGAATGTAACGTTCATGTAAAAAAATCATATACAACACAGCATGTACGTGTCTCAAGGGAGTGTTTAATTCACCGTCAGGGGTCCACCCTGGATGCTAAGCACTGCTTCAGATACACAGCCTCCGTGGCAAAAAGCCTAAACAGCAAGGCACTCCCTCTATCTAGGTAAAGATTCAGTCATGTAAAGGTCTAGCACTCAAACCACCAACAAAAACTCCCAGATAATGGCTGGCTGCTTGATTTCACTGTCTGGACCCATAGCACCCAACATATTTGCAGGGCTGCACCTCGAAGCGCTCAGGCTTGTCACGGGTGCTTTCTCCCAGCCGTGGCCTCGCGTCTTCTCCTCCTGGAGACACGAGGCCACACGGGTCATCAAACCATCTCAATGCAAAGGATCTCTCAGGGGTGGATACCCGGGTAACTGGCTCTCCTTGCCCTTCTAGTCCTGGCGTGTTTCTTCGTGACACATGCCCTGACCTGGGAACAGGTGCGCGTGGACCCAGTGAGACGTCGGAGCACACCTGACTGAACGTGCCACCTTCTGGCTGGCAGGGCAGAGCATTAGGGTCCCACGTGCAATTTAAATGTAGGCTCCCGGGGGACCTGAACACAAGCAGCACCCTGGCTCATCTTGTCTGCAAGCCGTCCTCTACAGTGGCTGACTCAACCTTAGGTTGTCAGCCAAGAGAAAGGTGGCCGGTCATTAAAGCCTGGGATACACATTCCACTTGGTCTTATAAGAATGGACCCAGTTATGAGACGAAATATGATTCCCTGTCTCAACTTCTTTGGATAGTCTTCATTTTTAACATTATTGGGATCTTTTTAACTTCCAGATATTTTCATTTCTCCAGCAACTTAACTTCCCTTTGGAAAATGTACCCGTCAAGGTTTAAGGTACTCCTCTGACATAAAACCTGTGAATAGACTCTAGAAGAGTCACTGAAGGGGTGCCCAAGCTCATTGTCCCCCTTCTTAACATATGATCAAATAGAATACTGAAAGACTAAATGCTCATGGCTCTTTTGTATATATTTAAAACACACAGCAACATAAGAACATCTCAGATCATTTAAAAGAAAAAAGGGTTATCAACCAAAATCTTTGGAAAGTTCATAAAATTTAAATATCTGCAAACTTTGCAACCAAAAAGAAAAAAATTCCAACGTTTGGCTCTGGAGGGCACTTCACACATGAACCACATGGTGCTAACATTCTCCTTCCGGTAAACTAGTCACTAAACCCCATTAGAAAGCACACAAGAGCGATCACGGAGACGCCCGGCAACCACCACGCACGGGGCCAGGACATTGTCAGCAAGTGCTCATCTACCCCGGGCTTCCTTTCCATTGCAGGCTTGACTGTACACTTCTACAATGCAAGGTTGACACAGCCTCCAAGTGTTGCCAAGTAGATTGATGTCCATTCTACAAAAATATTAACTTACAGTACATAACACTGAATAATTTTAATCTGTACATTTTTCCCCTCCCACAATAGGTGACACAGGTCAGTTTGTACAGGTTGGAAAAAAACAACACATCTGGTTGTTTACATCTGGATTAAGAGTCAAAAGAGGTCAACCAGAAGTAGCGGGGTGGGGACAGTTTGAGAAGGAAGAAATACAGTGTAATAGTAATTGTGGTTAACAGTGTTCAGCTCTTAACAAAGGGATACAAAATAAGTCACCTAGATTTTTGACTGCAAAGATCTAGCCAAGAAGGTTCTGCCAAAGCAGTCGACCAGCTGATCCCAAGGTGAGGCAGACTCAGCTCAGGGACTGCAGCACAACCAACAGCATGGCGCCGGTCAGCTCTTCAAATGCACCGCTTCAGTGTCACACACACACTGGTTCTATTCCTTCAATTAGTTACTCCTCTAGACAGTTTCCTTTTGGTTTCACATGCATCCCATTCCGTTTTTCATTAAGGGCATCTCTTCCTTGGTCATTCATGTGCTTTTCAATTTGTTTTTGTGATTTTTGTGTGTATGTGTTTTGTTGGTTAAGCTGTCAATACCTCCAACACTTGGAAAATGCAATATAGGTGTGGTTTCACTCACAGAAGAGAATCAGAGCTCTATGGACAATGCAAAATGAAGTGAAAGAAGTGTCAGAAACAGTTTATAAAAATGGCACATTTATTGCTACAGAACGGTCATGTACATGACTTCATCGATAACTACAGATGGGACAGGTAATGGCCTGGACCAGGCTGGGCTTGCTTTTGTCTTGAAGAAACTCCAGCACACAACCTGTTTGGACACGTCTACAAATCAGAAATACACCAAAAACATGAAAAAATCGAGGCACTCAGCCACACATTGAAAACAAGGTGTAACTGTTTATCTTTTTTTTTGAAGTGTTTTCCCTTTTTTTTTTCTTTTTTTAACATTTTTTTTTTTTTAGTTTTTAATGCTGCAGCTATGTGTACAGTCGCAAAAAATTTCCCCGCTGCGACCTACAACTAAAAAAATAAACAAATGAAACAAAACAAAAAAACAAACAAAAAAAGCTACCATACAGTTTCATCTCAGTAACACATGGTAAAATAACATCTTTTAAATAGTAAAATAAAGTAACAAACTTTACTCATAATGATTCCAAAAATCTACAAAGAAGAAATATTCAGAATCTGACAATTTTTTTTTTGTAATATTCATGGTATAAAAGGATTGCTCCTACGAAAAATAAGCCAAATATATTTTTATTTTTAAATTTAGTTTTTTTTTCTTACTAGGGTGTACTACAGTCTATTTTATAGCAAAAAGAGCACTAGACAAACAAAGCTTTATAACAAAAAGCCAGGCACTGATACATGGTAAATCTCTGCTTTTTTTTTTCTTATCTTCACTTAATTGCATCACAAGTAACAAGAATGAAAAAGGCCACAGTTCATATATTTCACCGTTACATATGTCTATAATACTTGAAATGAGGATGGCAAAACCAGCACTGCACGAAGATGAGTCCACGTCAAGTCCCATGAGAAAGAGCATGTCTCTAAAGAAAAACAAACAAAACCAAAGCAAAATAAAAAGAGAGGCCTAGCGGCCTTGGTGCCCCATCGTGTTGGAATTCATCATATTCCATCTTGACTTTTTGTTTGTTTGTTTGTTTTGTTTCCAGTCAGCCAGCAGACTAAATTTTTGTGCTTATTTATGCTGAAAATGTTTCATTCCTGACTCAAGTTCACTTTTGGACACAGATCATATTCTGCCTGTTGGATCCAAGACGAAATCCTCTTAACCCCAAGTCTTGGTTCACCTCCCTCCCCAACCCCGAACCCCTCATCAAAATAAAGATCACAAGTAAAAAAAAAATCAAGAAATAGGAAAAAAGCGAAAAACAGAAAGGAATCGGAAGACTGAATCAGAACCAGTTGCGTCACTGGGTGGACTGACAGTTGTATAAACATTAGTGTTCCTTGCAGCTACACAGAAGACAAATGGTAAACTTGCTAGATGAACAGATCCCTATTCTGCATATTCATAAATTACTTGAATGTGGAGGTGGATCAATGGTTCCAAGTTGCTTTAATGTCCAAGTCTCTTAAACAGATCCCCAGCCTAGGTATCATCACATATAGAGTATGGACCCTTATGGCATTTTTTGTGTAGTTCCTTAATTCTGTCTTCTGCTAAATTTCATTAGAAAAATCCAGCACAGGATACCAATATCTTACCTGGGTTTGATAATTTACAAAACAACGAGAAAAAACACACTAAGAAGGCCACATTCCCTTTCATCTTTTTCTTCCTTTCTTTTTTAATGGGGACACAACCCAATTACACGGATAGGTGCAGATGTTTCTCCACCAAGCAAAAAGTACTGAGCAGCTGTTGGTGGCCATTAGAAAGTTTTTCGCTTCTTTCCAAAGGGAATTCGACAATAGAGGTATTACATTACTGGGTAATGAATACATCAAAGCTGGTGAACAATAAATTGCAGCTTTTCCTCTGTTGGAGTGAGAACAAAATATAAAGCACCAATTTAAAAAATAATCAAATAACTACAATTTAGTTTTTTGCTCTGATTTGAAAACCTTTAAATCAGCTCTATTAAGCACCTGTATGATAACGTGTATCAAAAGTGCCATTCTTAACATGTACATCAACACAGGGAGTGTTTCCAGTTCCCTAAAGAGTAAACACCGTATTTTCTTCTGTACACTTATCCTGAATGTGATCAAAGTAGACCTGCTTCCTATATATTGTTCCTAGGGATACCCGCCTTGGTAGACTATACAAAGTGAGTGCAGAATGTACCACTAAAGGAAATCTTTACATACCAGGGAACACAGACACATGTTTTCCATTATTTCAGAGGAGGGGAGCGGACACAACACTGTCTTCCATGCCCTCTTGGAGTCCCTTTGTTCATACATTTCGCAGGAAAGCCTCAAAATAACTTTTCATGAAGTTTGATTTCTGCTATTCTCCTAAGGTTTTAATCCACCTCCACATTTTAGGAACTTATCAAACAAATCAAAGTATTTTAGATTTATCGCTACTGAACATATTTACAGTTTTCAACACACACACACACAGCTAATCAAAATGTTTATGGGTTTGTAAAAGATGACCACGTGGTAACTACCTTATTTGTTCTTACATTTTCAGAAATGAACATAAAATTCAGATTCTTGTAGCTCACTATTTCATTTAAATGAGACGTTTTTAAACCACACAGTTAAAAAAACAAAAAAACAAAAACCAATACAATGTATTAAAACACATAATAACAAGAGTCTACGTGTAAAAATATAACTTTTACATACACAATTTCAAAATAATGATACGTTTGCCATTTGTTGCATAAAATTTACAAATGTATTTCATTACTATATAACTGGCAAAACAGGAGAACAGATGGAACATTTAGACCATTTTGATGGATTTATGGCATTTACTCAGTGCTGATAGGTGGAAAAAACTACTTGAATAGGGATTTTTTTTCTTAATACATGCCAAGATTGTGTGGCTGTCATAACAGAAACGAGTTAGAGACAAAAGGATGCTGACAAATACTTAACTAGGAGCACTATTTGTTTACTGCACTATACACCAAACTCAATCATTATAAAGATTCACGTTGGAAGTTGGTTCAATTGTGCCCAGACGTCAAAGCTAGCTATCTGATGAGTTGCTGTGCCATAGCTTGATCTATGTTTCTATCAAATATGTTAGGTATAAACTTCATTCATACTGGCCAGAGAAATACTGCACTACCCCTCCTCAAGAAAGTGCAACTTAATGCTTTAGGACTTATAAGGCTTGTTATAATGCTGCATGATGATTGAATATTGGCATTTTTCAGATGGAGGAGGCAGTTATATCATCTACATCTTAGTAAACCCATTTTGAAAAAAAAAATCAAGAAAGCAACAAAATCAATCAGCTCTGTCACACTACTTGCAATTTTCTCATTTGATGGTTTTTGAACTTTACTTGTTTTTTTGTTTTTGTTTTTTTCCAAAAATCTGACCATGTATTCAGAAACGCCTCACTGCACACTACTTCGGCTACACATGTAGGTAACACTTTAATCATTTTGTTAAATCACAGCCACTTTGATTATGTTATGTTTCCGATGATATAAACATTGGAAGGCACAGTGGTAACATTGTAGCATTCTAACCTTGTACCTCTGAAAATCCCAGAAGAGGGTCACACACGCAACATTACAATTCAGACAAACTCCTTTTGCCGTGTCTTAGTAATGCTGCTTGTAATATCTACACATGATGTGACTTTTAAGTCCTGTGTTCCCAAAAGACTGGAGAAACAACTTTCTACTTATTCGTGAATGAAAAGCAACATCAGGGTCAGCGTTTCATCCTGCACTACCCCTCCGGAAGCAGAGTTGGCACTACAGGTTACGATAACAAACCGGGAAGGGACAGAAATAAGACCAAAAAAAAAAAAAATCCGTATTTACAGTAAAATCTTTCTTTTAAAAAAGTTAATCAGTACTATTTTTTTACAGGAGAAAAAAGTCTGAAACAAATGAACAAAAGCTTACCATAGTCACTAAATTTTTAATATATATTTATATATATATTTATATATATATTTGTCATAGGTCTATAAGATCCATCTGTTCCTCCTACCCTAAGGAATGGCTAATGTCATCACTTCGCTGTCTCAGGACGTTTGCTGGTTTTGTTACTAGGGCAGCCGAGCTTCCCTCATTCGCTATCCAGGAATTATAAACACTAGCTGACTTGAATACCAACAAAAACGTTCATGTAGTTTTCTTCAGAAGTACACTTTTTCATTATTGCAAGTTTACAATTTTTAAATTAAATATTTTTTTCAGACTTACAAATTAATTATATTTTTTTTCCAAAAGAAGTTTAGGCACAAATGCATTGTTCCACAGTGTGGAAGGATTGCCATTCAGTCTCTGGGCTGGTCTCAGCCTGCTCACACCGCTTTGCACATTCTGAATGATATGTTAGAGAGAGTCATCCCTCAAGTTGCACTTTTTTCTTTCTTTTTTTTTTTGTTTGTTTTTCGGTTTTTTGATAATTGGGAATGCTGAAACCTCTTGCGTCTGCGATTCATAACTACTCAGACTTGTCTTATATTACAAAAAAGGGGTCGGGGAGAAGTGTTTATGTGGGTTTAAGATAATACAGCTGTTAAGGAAGTGGTCTCTTGTGTTAATGAAGCAATGTGGCAGCTTGGACCTGGGAAGGAAAAGAAGAGGGGAAATAATTAGTACATTGACAACAGTAGAAGTAAACGTTTTATTCTTAAACGCTTCTATCAAGGGGAAAATCTGTTAATCTGGGGAAATGGACTGCTCTGGCCACCACTTCGGTGGGAGTCACTGGGAAGGCTGGTGTAGGGACAGCTCACTTGGGAGCACCAGAGGGAAGGCTGGGTGCAGGGGGCTCACTTGGGAGCACCAGAGGGAAGGCTGGGTGCAGAGGGCTCACTTGGGAGCACCAGAGGGAAGGCTGGGTGCAGGGGGCTCACTTGGGAGCACCACAGGGAAGGCTGGGTGCAGGGGAGCTCACTTGGGAGCACCACAGGGAAGGCTGGGTGCAGGGGGCTCACTTGGGAGCACCACAGGGAAGGCTGGGTGCAGAGGGCTCACTTGGGAGCACCACAGGGAAGGCTGGGTGCAGGGGAGCTCACTTGGGAGCACCACAGGGAAGGCTGGTGTAGGGACAGCTCACTCTGGAGCACCACAGGGAAGGCTGGTGCAGGGGAGCTCACTTGCCCTTTCACATCTGTCCCATGTGGTTCGAAGCGTCTCCCATTCCAGGGTGAGGGCCCGCCAAGGACAGCGGGGGCGGCTCCGAGGATACCTTTTCTTCCTCCCTTCTTTTCAGACACGCAGCTTTCGGGTTCAGATTCCTCTCTGTGGAAGAAGGAAGCACAAAGCCTTCAGTTACCCAGGCTGCTGGTAGAGAGCAGCGTGTACCCTTCTGGGGACCCTTTCCTCACGTTTGCAGACAGAAGGGACAGTTAGAGAGTGCACTAGAGACTCCCTCCCTCAGTCACTGGTAGAGGGTGAGCTGCGTGGTGGAGTCACAGAGCCCTTTATAGTATCAGAAAGCTGGTAAAGCAAATATACGAAGCACCGATGACTGACTGCACGGGGAAGCTTCACACTCAGTCTTAGTGGTAAGAGGATCCTATAACTTAATGGCAGGAGAAAGGGGAGCTGCCTGTAGATTCAGTCGTGGTCTGCCATGGACATAACTCTCCTGAGCCGTGCTCCTGTGTCCCCTCTGCTCCCGCTCAAGGCAGGCGAGTCCTTCACGCTCCCTCCAGCCCCATGAGACGCGGCTTCTGCAAGGAGCCCGCTGCCTGGCACTGACCTCGGACCTGCTGCTCCAGGCTGAGGATGACGGCCACGGCCTGGTGGAGGATCAGGAGCTTGGTCTGTGGCTTGTCACTCTTGAGGTGGAGCTGCACCATGCGGCCCAGCTCCTTGAAAGCCTCGTTGATGTCGCGGACGCGCAGGCGCTCGCGGGCATTGTTGGCCATCCTCCGCTCCTTCTCACGCTCTGCCTTCTGCTCAGGTGTCAGGTCCTCGTCGTCGTTATTGCTGCGGGACAAAAGGGACGGGACATTTTCTAATGGTGTGGGGAAAAGGCGGTGACTCAATTACTCTTGCTTTCTTCCAGAGTTTGCACGGAATGTTTCCATCTCAAGCTCTTGTCCTTAGCAGAGTTTTACATGCACTTGAGCTGGGTTTGCTTTGGATGGCTGTCACAGGCCCTAGATACTAAACTCAAACCGAACAGGGGAGGTTAAAGTTAGGGCCCAGAGTGCGCCCATACTACTGCCGGAGGCTACACCCTGCAAAGCGGGCCACAGTCAACTTCAGCTGAAGCCGCACCACAGGAGGGCAACCCAGAAAGAATAGTTTTAGAAGTTGCTCTTTTGTTTTGTTCTTAACTTTCATACCGTGACATCTGAAAGTTAAGGAAAGTAAGTGATTGCAAAAACAGTTTGAGATGTCAAAATTAACGTGGTGCAGCTGTCAGGATGAAGAAGAAGGTCCTACATTGAAGACACCAGAGCAATGGGAGTGAAGACTTTTGTCCAGGTTTCTCCAGGAATTTGCTTTAAAGGTTTGGTCATTCCACTGAAGGTATCTGAGTCTTGTTTTCTCCGTGCATTCAATAAAAAGGTTAGAAACACATGATCTCCATGGCCTTTAACATCATGGGTGTTTATGATCCAAAAACAAGCGAGGGGAAACCTGAGTTGACCTGAGCTGTGTAAAGCAAGCAAAGCAAAACAAACTCCAAAGATCTACCGGTTAGAGCTTCTGACTCATTGTGAGTCAAAAATGAAGCCAACAAGCTAATCTCTGACTGTGAGAACAGAAATATTGTGTGATTCATACCAAAGGCATGGCTGGACCCTGTAGAGTCTGGAAAGGCAAGATTATTTCTGTTTGTGGGTGTCATGCTGACAAATGAGAAGAAACTTTTGAATGGAGGGCAAATAGGAGGATGAGCCATCTGGAAAGCATAGCATAAAGGTTTCATGGCATCAGGGCTTTGAGCGTTTCATGGGCGATTATGTAAAAAGAGGCGTGGGAGATGTCTTGCTTCAGGAAGACAGAATAGAAAAGAAGAACTTCGAATAGTTTGATTTAATATGAATAAGAGTTTTGGGGCACGAGAGATATCAAAAATAAAGTAAACTTTACCAAAAGTAATAGGCTCTCCATGACGAACAACAACAACAACAACAAAAAATCCAAGAAACAACAACAAAAAAACCAATATGGAGGTGACCAGCTATAAGGATGTTAACCAAGAGATTTAAGCATGGCTCTAAATAACCATGAAGGTTAACCTCTATTTTAAAATTCCACGAATTTGAAATGTTCACAGAAAAAGTGTTAGTCACAGCACTTCAGAGCTGGAGGACATGTGGGAAGTTATCTGGTCAATGTGATGTACACTTAGTGAAGTTGGCTTAAACTACATGGCCCTAAATCTTCCACTTTGGAGAATCTCTGGGTAATTTCCAGAGTGTAATAAGGATCAACTACGGTTTACAAGCCCCAATCGAGCAAAAATGGAAGTGATATCCCTGGGTTGCGAGCACGTGTTGCACATAAAGGTGGCCATCTAAGCCAAGAACACGTGTAAGGGAGGGTAGGAGGGAGGCACCAGAGAAAGATGTTGTAAGACTTGGGTCATCTCCCCAGAGGTACACCCTCCTGCAGATGAGATGGTGTTCTGTGGATGTGTGCTAGTGAACACACAACCGACCTCAACCAGTCGGAAAAGGCTCTGCCATCTGATCCTCCGACTTCGCTGCTGAGCCTTCTCTCCCTCACCCATGACCTCTGCTGTTGCCAAGGAAATCAAGCTGCCTATTAATATAGGATGTAATAAGTGAAAGGAGAACACAGTCAAGTTTCTGCTGGGCCTGTCTTGAAGTTAAAAATTCTGGGTAATATTTTTATATACAAACACATGCCATACCTTTCAAAGGGTGGGCCTGAAATGGGAACTGTTTTCCAAAGTTACTGGGGCTAATAATTAATTAGAATTGGTTATGCAAATCAAACTGCCTAGATTTGAAAAGCAATGCCTTACAACACATTTTTGGAGGTTTGAGTAAATGTCACAGGAGTGACCTTTTAAAATACGAAGATTCTTAACAGCAAGTTAAAATGTGCTGAAACGTCACAAGGTAAATGAATATGCACACTAGTAAGTATGGCCACTGCTTCAGTTACTGAGGACTGACTGGACTAACAGAGAAGGTGGTGCGCATGTGCAAGCCCTTGGGATTTCTCACCGATGTGGCCAAGAGCCAGGGAACCGCAGTGATGATGAAGGGAGAAGCTAGAAGCTTTTAGGGTTTTTGGAACTTGTGATAGGACATGTAATAAAATGTATCATAATAATTATAAAGACAATATGAAAAGGTGGCATCTTCTTCATCCCTGTAGGACACTAGATATAACCTTAAGAACAATAGCCTTTAAAAGGAAGGTGTAGTTTTAGTACATTTAATTAGCAAATCAAAAATATGGGTGCCACGGCATTTAAAAACCACCTGATTATCAGACTAAAGTTCAAGGAGACAGTTAGATCCTGCAGCTGCATTTTCTATAGGAGGGAGTATCAGGGAGAAAAAAAATTAGCAATGTAGGTATCGTTCTTACATATATATCAACATGTTTAGAATAATACGGGAAATCAGTATTTTCTCATTTTTGAGATAAGAAAAACATTACAGTTGCATATACATCAATTGAGTTTTCAATATCATGAAGATTTCTTTTTGGAAATATTTTAGAAATAACATTTCTGACCAAATTTGTAGAATAAGTATAGTCTTAAAAAATCAACTCTTTGTGTTTGAGTCAGTTACAAATTGTTTTTACCGCGTATAATTAGCCCTGGGTCCAAATTCATAAATGCAAAGATATTTCAGGCCTCGCTAGAGTACAGGTATCTTAAACGATACTTCAGTACCTCTAGAGTAGGCCTTTAATTTTCTTTCCAGCTGTAGATTTACCTGCCAGGAAAAAACTGAATAGTTTCTTCCTGTTCTGTTCACTTCATCAAAGTCCAATAAAGGAATTAAATGAAGCGACAGTATTATATACTGTTACCTAGATCTTGACCTAGTAATTGATTTGATATCCTTCTTGTCGTCATCTAGTTTCTTGTCCTCGGAAGATTTTGTGTCTTGCAGGTTCTCATCGCCCTCGTCGTCGGATTTGATCTCAGAGCTGCCGGAGGAGACGCTCTGGCCCTGCAGGCCTGGGGGCATGCCTGCGGAAACAGAGGGACCGGGTGACGTCTCCACCAAAGACCCCAGGCACAAACTCACACCCCAGATTTGGAGCTGCCAGCGATGCAATTCATGCTGCTCAACTGTGACCCTTCTGTCTTTTGTGTGTGTGTATGTACTACCTGGTGAAGTTGCAGAAATGCACCTGCGGAAGCAAGTTCTCTCTGCATTGGCTCTGAGGTTAAATTCTATTTTGCAATCTTTTGGAGTAGATGGTAATTTCACTGTCTACAAAACATCAACTTAATTGCAATGAAAATCATAATCATGAAAATCATACACCTCAATGTTCTGATTAAGAACCCAAGTAAATATCAGCTATTATATTGAGTTTCTTCCATATGCAATGATTTAATAGAAAAATGTCCTTAAAATATAATTCCCAGGGAGTATGCTAAATATGTACAGTCAAGTCTTCAATAGATACCCTAATGATATTCTGAAATTAGGCTTCTCTTATCCTCAAAGAGTAATCAGCATTTAAAAATGGTACATATGGAAAGCAGATAGCTGCGCGCTGAAGAAATTTCAAGCTTTCTCGTTGCTCAACTTTCAAGATCACAGCACACATTAAAACTTGACCCTAATGCAAGCCTTTATTTCTAGGTTAGAAGCTTGTGTATGAGTATTGCCCTCTATTTGTAATCTGTGGCTGGGAACCTTGTCACTCAGAATTCGGTCCATGGACCAGGAGCATCCTTACACCTGGGAGACCGTTAGAAATGCAGAATCCCACACCTGCAGAGTCAAAATCTGAATTTGAACAAGACCTCAAGCCACGCTTATACACATTAAAACTTAAGGAATATCAGTCTAGGAAAGAAAAAGAAAAACCAAAGGCTCTTTAAAAGAATGGTCTGCCGCATTCTTACTGTTCAAATAAAATGGGGCGGCATCCGCATATATAATTAATACTCAGATGAGTACAATGTTTAACAGGTGAAAAATGCTCAGGCATATCCTGTGGTAGTGCTATCATTCTTGTTCTAAACATGAGGGAATGAGATGTTATTCAAGTGTCTCCTCATCACCTGCTCAGTCAGTTGCACAGGGAGCCTGAGACCTGGGTCTTGCCCCAACAGGACAACTTCCTGGGGTCATGAAAAACCCATCGCAGTATGACTGAAGTAATCATTACGGGGCTAGATGACTCAATACCGAAAATCGTTCAAACAACTCCATTTTTTAAGATGTGCCTATATTTCCTCCAATCTTCAACAACAAAAACAGTTTCCTTCCTTCCTATTCATTTGGAAATATCATTTTCAGGCTACAACTAACCATATTAGAGGAGCTGAATGAGTAAGATGTGGAAATAGCTAAAATAAAATTTCCTCTCATCAGTCTGTTGTCTTGGTCCCTGCTGAAACAGCACCAGGATTTCAGAGGATGTTTGAAGAAAACAGCTACTGAAGAAACACAATTAGCTGTTCTAAATACTTTCCCATTTACTTACCATTTTGGGGCCAAATTTGATTCTTGGTTTTCTGCCAGTGCTTCCTGAGGGACGAATGCCAAGTAAGCTGGGGATCAGCACTAGCTCTGCTGTTGTGTGAGGACAGAAGTGCCCCAGTGGACCTACCTCTGTATGGGTCCTGGGGCGGGTTCAAATCAGGGGAGGTGGCCGACTGGACAGGAAGCTGTGGGACTGGAACCTGGTTTGGCACAAGAGAATGGCTGCCTCTCAGGGCCACTCCGTCTTCACGATGGGCCCCGACCTGCAAGGCGAGAGGAACCATAGAGTTTAGCGGGAACCAGAGGTGAGACAGCTGTTTATGGGGGTAGCCAGGACCTAATGAAGGAAGACTGGCCTTTGCAAAACAAAACTCCCAAATGCATTTCACTAGAGGGCGCTGAAGGACCACGCATACACCTAGAGTGCCCTGCACAGCCACTTAACACTCAGCAAGATGCCGTGCTGTACATCCAGTGACAAATATGGCAGAGGAGCTCAGGCAGGTAAAACGTCAAATTGTCTCCCAGGGTGCTGCAGTGGAGCGCACTGATTCGTACCCATCTGTCTTCTATCATGTCCGCCAACAGATCTGACAATTATCTTAATGCCCATATGCTTAATTGTGGGCTTCTCAATTCCCCCATTGCTATCGGAAATCCTACAGGAATTTCAATTTGGCATTCGACTTTCATTTCAGGGGATAAGATTCTCAGGCCTGCCATTTTTTTTCCATAATGCCAGCTAAGCCTGTGACAGCGGAAACGGCAGCAGTATGGGACGCAGCCCCTGCTCGGTACAAATATAATAAAATGTCACCTGGCTTTCCAAAACTGGCAGCCCATTCCAAATTAATGTTTACTGTATTTCATCAGCTGCCGAGTTCCAAATCCAAAGGGGGACGGTCTCTGCCAATGCCACCACACCGGAAAATGTCCCAATAAAGGTTTTATTAAACACACCAGTAATGCCATCATTGCCATGCAAGGAGTTTGGACATTGTTCCATTTTTTTTTCTTCACTATTCTGATCCCAGGAAGACACCATATTGTAAACAGTCTTTATGCTTCCAAGAATAAAATCATAGAGTACAGCACGATGCTTCAGTCTGAAGAACCTGCTGCTGAGCTTTTTATTAACTAGTACTACCTACTCTGGGCCCAGAGATGTTGAACCCACGGCATGAAGACAGCAAATGCTGACTTTAGAGGGTACAGCGCCTTCAAGCAGAACATCAAGCTTTTGCAAACGAAGAGGAACCTGAGTAGCTGCATTTTCGTTTGCATTTCCCACTAGTTATTTTCTTAGTTTGTTGTTAGGTGAACATTTACACAAGACAATGAGTCTAACACTGAAAATATTAATCTACGAATTTAGACTGCTATAAATCAAAAACTTGAATTTTCTCATCCAAAATATAAAGCCACAAAGGAGAATCACCACTCTTGCTACCAAATATTTAAAGAGTATTTCTAAGGAATGCAACAACAAGATTCTGAGCTGACAACAGTCGCATTCCCAGAACTGAGCAGAGGCATGCTAGCTAAGGCAGCCCACTATCCAGTTCTCACCGTTACAGGCAATTCAAAGAAAATAATTCAGGAGCGGGGGAAAGGATCAATTGCTCAGATTCAAAATATAGCAAGAATAGTACAGGATTTAAAGACTCGTGAAGTATAAATGAATGTTGTAGCTAAGAGATCTGAGCAAGCCTGTGCTGTCTGCCACCTATGTGCCTGAGTCCCTTTCTGGATCATTCTAAATGGCGGTTATTTAGGTCTTATGAGTGTGCAGCAAATGCACTGAGACCCTGATGGTCTCCCAAAGCAGTCCATTCCATTTTCACCCAAAGTCGGTCTCCTTGCACATTCCACCACTGGTTCTAGTTTCAGCCCCTGGAGTTCATGGAGTAAGTGTAAGTCCTTCTCACATACGTAATGCCGTTGCCACGCCACTCCTGTCTTTCATGTGTAACTGAAGCCTGTTCCCTTACAGGCAGACCATGCCCACAGCTCCGCCAGCCATTTCTCACTCACTGTTGGGACATGTTTTTATTTTTCCTTCCAAACAAGGACTGATACTATTTTCCATTCAGGCTTTGATTTGCCATGTTTAAATCTGTGCATTTCCCAGATTTATTCCTTTGATGATTACCCTTTCCATCCAAGATGTCAACTTGTAAGCGTGAATTTCAAAGGCCTTGATCAAATGCTCACTCTTTAAGTCTGTCAATGTTACCCTAAACAATTACCTTAGCGCTGACTCATATTTTTTGGTATTCCCAGTGGATTTCAGTTCTTGGACTTCCACAAAGGAGGATTCTAAGTTGGAATCACTGAGGTAACCATGGATCTGAGCATAGCAGAGGTGTTTTAGAATTATTATGTTAAAACTTTCAAGCCTTCTTTGTAGGCATTTATGATATAATTTAAGGTTAATATTTTGCTTTTCACTTAAAATATATTCAGATATTGATTCTGCAATTTCTTCTTTCCCCCTCTTGGTCACACTGAGATTAGTTTTTACAAGAGGAAAAAAGAATTCATAACCAATTACCTTTCTATTTTCTTTGCCTCAACTATTATGGAAGACAGTGTAACTGAATGAAAATAATACAATGATGAGAGTCAACAATATCTAAATTCTAAGTGTAACTGGTTTCTTTAATAGTTGTATAACGATGAATAAGTTACTCAAAGCCCAAAATGGAGAAAATAATACTAGAAGTTTTAGAGAATAATTCCCATGTCTAATGCAAGAAGAGGAGATATGTCAAACAGCTGGTACCCAGTGGTAATAGAGTGTTCTGTGTTCTGAAAATATGTGTGTAATACATTACCATAAGGGTCTCAGTAGTTCCAGAACCCTCAGAACTCAAGCTGCCTGCACTTCCAATCATCTTTGCCTCTATTTTGTTCATATCCATTTAATTTTAAATCTCTCTCCTGCACGATGACAGTAAAATCTTACATGATAGCCCTAACCGGTTTGGCTCAGTGGATAGAGCGTCAGCCTGCAGACTCAAGGGTCCCAGGTTCGATTCCGGTCAAGGGCATGTACCTTGGTTGTGGGCACATCCCCATTAGGGAGCGTGCGGGAGGCAGCTGATTGATGTTTCTCTCTCATCGATGTTTCTAACTCTCTATCCCTCTCCCTTCCTCTCTGTAAAAAATCAATAAAATACAATTTTAAAAAAAATCTTACATGATATTATTATAAATATGTTTGAGAATATAGTTGTTTCAACTATGTTTTTGTTTAAATTTTAGCCATATATGCTACCTAATTTTATATATTTTCCATAGATCATTTTAGATCATCTCAAGCAATACATCAATTATTTTCCATAAAGAAAGTTGGGGACAAAGTTATCCTTACTGTTTTAAGACCTCCTTTGTAAACGGGTGTATTCCAGGTCAAGCGAAGGATGGATGATAGGTTCCGATCCATGTGTAATGACCCTGAGTCTCTAGGATCAAGTCCAATAGCTCTGACTATCAGATAATATTCTAATCTGAAGAATTAGCTTTGCATGTTTCCTTGACCACAACAGCATCCTATTCAGTTCTCTTTCAGAAACATTACTTCTGGTCACATAAAAGACAAGGAAAGAAAGACAGTAGGTGGCCAGCACAAATCCACCACTAGGGTAGCTCAGAAACAGATGGAGGAACCAATACTGCTATCCTGGCCAGGATCAGGATCTGTCAACTTTCCTTATAACGTGATCAGGTAACTAGAAAAACCAGATTCTTTTAAACTTACAAATAGGTTCTTAGGATGGTGCCTTTTAAAAAAAAAGGAAAATTCATACTTAATTAAAGCCCCATTTTGATAATAACCTTTTAACCTAGATAAGCAATAGTTTAAAGTTAAAAGCCAGCCTATGAAACCAGTTCACTTAATTAATATTGATTGCAAATGCTTTTGCAGTCTGTAGGAACAGCCTTCTTACTGTCACATACTATATGGCTTTAGATATATTTATGCTAAAAGTAAAAGCTAGAACTAAAATCTAAAAATATATTCAATAATTGTTAATTGATCCAAGTGCACATTAATTCACAAATGTTTACGAATCTAGCCCGTGCTTGTAATTCTGCGAGGGACAGGGGACACATGGTGAAGAGCCTGGATGTGGCCCTGTCCTTGTGAGCTTACAGTGACCTTTGTGAGACTTTGTGCCCCGAGATCAATTTAGTGAGGCAGTTCTAATAGTAAGAACCAGAGCCTCACTCAAGCTTGGCCAAGATACAGCTGTCAGAAGGGAGGAGAGTTGGAGGGCTGGGTGAAAAAGGTGAAGGGGTTAAGAAAAAAACACACAAAAACCCAAACAAAAACCTCATAAAGATAACAGCATGGTGATGACCAGAGGGAAGGGGGTTAGAAGACAGTATATGGGGATAAATAGAGGCAGAAGGAGACTTGGCTTTGGGTGGTGAACACACAATATACAGATGATGTATAATAGACTTGAACACTGAAACCTATATAATTTTATTAACCAGTAAATTAAATTAAAAAAAAGCTTTATCATGAAGGTTTTCGTAATTTAGGCTTTGGACCCAGAAGATTCTCAGGACCTAAGGCCACTCCTTATGTCTCATGAGCGGTTCCAGCCCATCTCCTCCTCAGCTGGAACCTGTCTCTCTCTGACTCTGCCCCTCATGACTCCAGCTGGACTCTTCCTTCACACTATCTTGTGGTACATTCTTTCAGGATCCATGCCTGCTGCTAACTCCCTCTCTGTCTTAGTATTTCTGAGTTCAGAATGTCAAGATCATCTGATGGCCCAGCTCATTTTGAAGCAGATGTGGGCCATCCTTTGAATGGGCCACCGTAGGATCGGTGTCTCCATTCGTGGTCCCATGAGCTACAAAAGAGGAAGAGGAGGCCAGATCATGTGATCTCAACATCTCTGCCTTTTCTTCAGGCCCTGAAGACCATGGCTATTATGTGCAAATATCTAAGTTACATTTCATCTTAGCTCAAGTCATATTCAAATTACGACACAGCTATTTAAATTCTGTGTTAATTTATCACTGGGCAGAATTAAATAACTTTAGAAGTGCATTACTTCTTTTGAGTCTGTAAGCACCATAAATATTAAATAACCTTACTTTCTGAGGAAAATATTGATATAGAAGAAGCACTTTTAAATCATAGTATATGGAGTTTAAGGGCTTGGAGACACTTGGGAACCAGTTAGGCCAAATTCCTCATTTGACAGAGAAGAAAGCTAAGGCTGGGAGTGGCTAAGTGACT